TAATTCCTGATCATACACCCCTTTTAAACCGTTTTCTCCCTTATCTGTTTCAATGCAGTATACATTATTTATCCCATCTTTCTCAGTCTCCCTCCAATCTCCATGTCTGTCCTGTTTTGTAATACTGGCACTAGGCTGTATTTGTCTTTTTGTGACTGAGATATTTCACTCAGCATAATGCCCTCCAGGGTCATCCATTTTGCATAATATTGCATGAGTTCCTTGTTTTTCAATGCAGCCTAGTATTCCATTGTGTGGATATACCGCAGCTTCTCTATCCATTCCTTTGTTGATGGGTTCTCATTCCCTTTCAAACGAAGATGGAGGATTCTTGGGAGTGATGGGAGGAGGGGAGCTGCTGCAGAGGACAGTGGACGTGACCCCTGAAGTCGCACACACCCCAGCACCTTGCACTCAGAGGGGCCTGGTGAGAAGTGGGCGCTGGTCACCTTGTGCCAACCAGGGCCCCAAGCGCCTGGAGTTAGCAGCCTGCACAGACTCAGCCTCAAGGGACAAGGGTGCCATGGACTGGAGAATTTTTTCCTCGAGATGTTAAATTTGGCAAACATGAGGAGCAACCTCCAGGATTGAACAGGATGCCCCGTTTCCCGCACTTTACGGCGTGCTGCCGCGCCTGACGGCAAAGGCAGACCAGCGCACTTTACGGCAGAGGCGTGCAACCGTGCTAGACAGTGTTTCAGAGCAGACGGGGAGCTAAGCGGTAGCTTTGATTATATCCGGTTTCTCCAAGACATTGCCTTGAAAAGCTGCTTTCCATGACGCCACTCGACTGCCTTGGTGTCCTCATTTTTTTTTTAAATTTGATGCAATTTTAAGGATTAAATCTAGTTCTGTGACTTAACTGGACGGTGATTTGCATACTCCCTTGCACGTGGGAATATAGACTACACGTTTCAAATCAAAACCTGTTGAGTTTAAGGCTATTTCTTTAGGAAACTGTTTCTTTTGTTGGGTAGCACTGAGCGTGGATCGACTGTCCAGCAGGTTTTCAGAGGCAGGAAATCATAGGGCAGTTGGTTTGCCTGCAGAGCAGCGAAGCAGCTGGGGATTTGAACTGCTCACCCTCGCACTGGCAGCACAGTTCCTTAACCATCAAGCCGCCAGAGCTCAGTAGAAACAAGCTCTTTATCTGTGCATAAAGGATTTGGTAAATACATCCTTTGGCGATGCCTCATGGTATTAGTATGCTTATGCTTTTGCTGTCTAAAAGGCAGATTACGGTCTTCTGAGTATGTAAACGTGGTGTTTTCTCTTCCTGTAGTGACTGACTCAGAGGGAAATCGGGGCTTCAGAAGGTGGGAGCGTGAAGCAGCATGGCGAACCTGCTGAAGACAGCCGTCACTGGCTGTTCCTCCTCTTTGCTCAGCAACCTGCAGCCCCGGAAGCTTCTCCCTGGGAAGAACGATTGTTTACGACCGTTTCACACTCGTCAGGTGCTGTGGTGTAAAGCCCCTGTAAAGCCAGGTAACGTCTCACGGCAGTGCTTATAAATCAGACCTTGGAGGCCCGTGAGCTAAGAGGCCAGCTGGGGCATGGAAAGCCTAGTGCTTGCAAGTGATTGTTTTAAATAAGAAACAAAGTGCTTTGAAAATATTTTTTCTATTTATATATGTTCCTGATTGTGTGAACAGAAATGAAAACAATAAGTAAAAATAAGAGTAAAACAAATGAGAAGGAGACTGACGGGTACCTGGAAGCCCATACATAACAGTTACAGCTCATAGGACCCTGGGACCCTCTCTCTTCCATAGTCAGCATCGGAGGGATTAGTTCCTGCATAGCTCACTGATGCTCAGGAGTTAAGTGTTTTCTTTGGTCTGTAATGTGGTGGTGGTGTTAGGTGCCCCTGAGTCAAGTACGGCTCATAGTGACATTACGAACAACATACCTGGACCCTGTTCTATCCTGTGCCGTCCTCACTGTCTCCAGCACACTCGAGCCCATTGTTACGGTCTCCATACTGATCCAGCTGCTTGAGGACCTTCCTCTCTTTTGCCGCCCTTCCATCTTTCAAGGAATAAGCTCTCCTAGCAACATGACCAAAGTATGTAAGTCTCACCATCCTTCCTCTAAGGAGCATCCAAGTTGCACCTTCTCCAGGACTTACATGCAGAGGGAGACCCAGGAAGGGATGGGTTGATACAGTGACTGGGGTGATGGGGGTTGGTGTGTCAGAGTCAGACTGGCTTAGGACAGGGCAGGCTTCAGAGCTGCTGTACATAGGGTCACTATACATTGCAGGGTCACTATATTCAGTAGCACACAACAACAGTAACATACTATGACAGGTTTGGAATCAGGAGTGGCATCCACTTCCTAAATAGCATGCCTCCGGAAACTCTTTGAACTTTGATAAATGTTGATAGTTGTAGAGGGGCTTCAGGCCTTTTGTTCATAGGGTCACTATGAGTCGTGCTTGACTTGAAGGCAATCAACAACAACAATAACAACAATGGGATGTTCAGTACTCTTCTCCAGCACCACAGTAGAGAGGCAGCCACTTCGTCAGCTCTGTCAGTGGTGACTCCATCTTTAGTTGCTCACATCAGCAACCTTGGAGCCATGCTAGGCCCTTGTGGTCGGCACACATCGGCTGTACCTGGGTTCTCCACTCTGTCCTGTTCTCACAATTGCCCTTGCATCTTGGTCCACGCTCCTGTCACGAGCCACCGGGATTATCCCGCGTGTCCTCAGTGTCCTCTGTGCCTTTCACCTTGCTTCTTCGGTAGAATGTTCTGAACACAACAGTGAAGAGAATCTTTTTACTCTGTGAGCTGTTGCCGCTGCTCTGCTCAGAGCTGGTGGGTAAGGGGTTGTGCACCTAGCTCGGGTATGGCGCCTCTTTGCTGGTTCAGATCCACTCGTGGCTCCAGGGGAGAAAGACGGGCAGAGCCCTCCAGTTTACAGGCTCGGAAAACCTTCTGGAGGGTCGGTGTTGAGCTAGTTCCAACCTGACGGTGAGTTTTGAGTTTGGAGTAAACTGAGCCGCAGCACTCAGGGACCGTGTGTAGAGACTTCCCTTGACCTGACGCCCAGCTGCTCCTCTTCTGGGTAGCGGAGGCTAAGGGTGCCCCTCTCAGCAGTCAGCTCCTTTTAGGCGGTCCTGTCCAAAGTCCGCCCAACTCTTCTGTCTACCTCACTAGCCAGACGACATGGCCCTACCTCGTAAGGGAGGGGGCAGCACAGCGAGCTAAAGACGGGATTCTGTTACTGGGGCATCGGCAGGGGTGACTTTTGGGGACAGGAGTCTTTGCCTCGTGGAATGATGTCCTCCTTCATTCTTTGCCCTGGCTGCCCAGTCAATGCCATTGCTTGGTGAGCCCCCACAGGCTTTCTTTTTTCTTTCTTTTAAAGTTTTTATTATTTTGTGTGTGTGTGTGTGTGTGTGTGTGTGTGCGCCGTCAAATCAGATCTTACTGGTACAGGAGGATATTGCCCCTCCTTCTCCATCAGAGCCTCTGGTGGTTTCGAATTGTGTGCTTCTGGGATTGCAGTGCAGAACAACAGACTTTTAAATGCTGGACGTCTGAGATGGGTCTTGGTGGCCCCAAACTGATTACTTGCTGGAATATGTTCCTTCTCGAGCTCTAGGGGGTCTGCCTCCTCGCCTTTGTTAGTGTCCTCCGAGCTGGTCCTCTGAGGGATCTGGGGGTCGGCCTCCTTGCCTTTGCCCGCGTCCTCAGAGCTGGTCCTCTGAAGGATCTGGGAGATCTGAGGGGTCGACCTCCTCTCCTTTGCCCGCATCCTTGGAGCTGCATTCCTTGGCCATGGCCTCTTTTCTCCACCTTCAGAACCAGCTGCATGACATCTTAAAATAGCTCTCTTTCTTGCTCTCTGTATCCTCCTTCTACATTTAGTGACCCTTGTGATTCCATCATAATCCTGGAGACGGTCTTCATTTTAAGGCCAGATGAGCAAAGCCTTTATTCCACCTGTGGCTTCCACACTTATTTGCCAGGTAGCCTAACATACTCATAGACTCTGCGGATTCGGATACAGACCTCTGTGGGAAGCTGTTGTTTTGTTCCACTCATTCAGCACCATGTTCCTTTGGCTCCTGAGGCTGTAAATCGTAAGGGGAAGATCCTGTCCGTCTTTCTCCACGTAGGAGCTGGTCCATTTGCACTGCTGCCGACACTGCGCCTTGGTTCCCTGTTCAGCACTCTACAGCTGTGCCTCTGGACAGCCTTAGCATTCACTGAATTTTTTGGTCCATGAAAACTTACTGTGTTCACTCTCCTGCCACTCCATGGAGGGGTTTAATTCCGTTACAGCTACTTATTACTTGTTTTAATGCTTAAATTGTCTCACCTTTTACTGGTTGGGACCCCTTCAGGCTGGTTCCTCCAGTCTTGTTTGACAGATAATTGTCTTTGGTAGCTTGATTTTTGGCATATCGTTACTGACATTATACTTATGATTGACAAGTTCAGACTAACTCCCAGCTGACCCTCTGCTGGGTTTCCGAGGCGGTAAATCATGAGGCAGGAGATTGCCCATTTTTCTATTGTAGAGTTGCCAGGGATGCATCCTATCTCCATACCTTTTCAACCTGTATGCAGAACAGATTATCCGGGAGGCTGGGCTCTATGAGGAGAAATGTGGGGTCAAGATTGGTGGACGATTTATCAACAATCTGCATTATGCTGATGACACAACCCTGCTTGCTGAAACTGAAGAGGACCTGAAGCGCCTGCTGCAGAGTGTCAAGGACTGCAGCCTCCTATGTGGTTTGAGGCTCAATGTCAAGAAGACAAAGATTCTCACCACTGGACCAATTGGCAGCATCAGGATGGATGGTGAAGAGATTGAGATTGTACACAGCTTTAGTGTGCTTGGCTCCATAGTCAACAGTCTTGGCACCAGCAGCCAGGAAATTAAAAGGTGCATTGCCATGGGAAAGTCTGCTGTTAGGGACCTCTCCAAAGTACTGAAGAGCAGTGGTATCTCTTTGGAGACTAAGGTGCGTCTGATACAGGCCATGGTCTTCGCAATCACTTGTTATGCATCAGAGAGTTGGACAGTGACCAAGGAGGATAGAAGGAGAATTGATGCCTTTGAGCTGTGGTGCTGGAGAAGAGTATTGAGAATACCATGGACTGCTAGGAAAACAAACAGATTCATCCTGGAAAGGGTTAAACCGGGTGGCTCCTTGGAGGCAAGGATTCTGAGGCTCTGTCTAACATACTTTGGACATGTTGTGAGGAGAGACCGGTCCTTGGAGAGGGACATCATGCTTGGGAGGGTGGAGGGACAGTGCAGGAGGGGAAGACCCTCTGTGAGGTGGATTGATTCATTGACTGTGGTAATTGGGATGGGAGTGTCAGAGACAGTGCGATTGGCACAGGACAGAGCAGAGTTTAGGGCTGTGGTACATTGGGTCGCTCTGAGTCGCAGGCGACTTGACGGCACATAAGAACAACAACAACAACAACAGAGTTGCTGTTGGGGTTTGAACCACCAGAGAGGCTTGACCTTTAAGTTAGCAATGAAACTCCCGATAGGCCAGACCACTGGGGCTCCCCTGTGGTATGTAGGACTTGGAGAATTTGATACATGGACTCCAGGTAAGTATCACTATATGTGACCCTGAACATCAGTATAAGTTAGTTACCCGCTGCTGGTTGTTTTCCATCCTCTCTGTCCAGTGCTGTGTTAGGTGCTGTTGAGTCAGCTCCAGCTGAGAGCTACCCTGTGAACGGCAGATGAAGCCTTCCCTCGTCCTGTGCCCTCTGCACTGTCTCCACGGGGCTTACAAACATCGCTGTGGTCACTGTCTCAGTCCATCTTTTTGAAGGTCTTCCTCTCCTCTGGTCTTCCACTTTTCCAAGAATGATGGACTTTTTCAGGGACTGGTCCCTTCTGATTACAAGCCTAAATAGATGAGAAAAAGTTTCACCATCCTTGCTTCTGGCACAGTGATGGCACGCCTTCCAAGGCAGATTCTCTTGTTCTTCTGACAGTCCATGACACACAGTCATTACTCTTCACCAGCACCGCGGTTCAGAGGTATAAATTCTACTTCTTTCCTTTTCAAAATACCATGGCTTGAGTTAGGCAAACCTTCATCTTTGAACTGACATCATTGGACGTTCAGGAAGTCCTCAGCAACAGATTTGCCCAGTGCAGTACCTTTAGATGCCTTCACTCCTGTGCCCCTACATGTAGACCGCAGCACTGACTCACTCATTGCCGTTAAGTGGGAATTAACTCGTACCTGACTCTCCAGACAGTTTTCTGAGGCTGAAAATGGCATGAGAGGAGATTGGGTGTCTTTCTTCCTTGGAATGGATTTGAACCCAGGGCGAGAAACCACCTTTGGTTTAACAGCCCAGCTTCCTATGGTTGAAGCTACTGGAGCTCCGTAGGTCCAGGTTATAGATCCAAGTGAACTCTAAAGTACTCAAGAGCAACGGTGTCTCTCTGGAGACTAAGGTGCGCCTGATACAGGCCATGGTCTTTGG